TTATTTTAAAGCGATATAATAAATGCAGCTCGCGCTTGTCTCTTTGCTATACGTGTAAAAAAAAAAGAAACTCATTTATAAAAAAACAAAAAGTTGCCGCTGTGTCCACCGTTGCTTTTTTCAACTGGAAACTCTAACATAAATTCGCGCATAATTTCCGCTTGAATGTTTAACGCGCTGAAACAAATTAAGGCAATCGCCGTGCAGAAAAACTGTTTTACATTCCTCTCGAAAAGCTTGAGTTGCGACGCCGCGGAAAGTTTTGCATATTACATTTGCTGCTATTAGATGAATATAGATGAGCCATAACTTCATGTAATATTAAAATACTTGTATTGTGAAAGTAGAAAACTTTGACAGAAAAGTAATCCGCCCCGCGCATTTATCAGAATAACTGAGCTGAAATAGCAGGTGTATAATTTCTAACACATAAAGTACGTATCGAGGAAGTGTCAATATTCCGATTATCAGTTGCTCTCCCCTTGCGAAAACCTTTTTATTAGCTTTACTCGCGGAGCAGCCGCGTTTAACTCGCGGTACACGCCCGGTAGAATGCAAGCGCAGGAATCATCGTTGCGAATCGACGGGAGCAGATTCTCCCTGTGGCGGTGCCGAGCGATTACGATCGAGGCGAACGAACGTGTGGAAAGAAAGCATTAGGATGAAGCGCGCGGTATTATCAGAAAATTCGAGAGCTGCTGAGACCGTTGTCGTCTCGCGAAGCGGACTATATCGTGCAGAACTAATTACGTCGACGGACGTAAATGGTTGGTGGCCTCGAGTGCCAAATGGTTCTTCGCGAACGAAGCGCCGACGACGAGAAAGAAGGACACGCGCTAGAGACGTGACGGGACGAAGGAGGAGAGCTCGGCGGTTCGTTCGCTCGTTCGCTCGCCTGTGCGAGTGACGAGATTCTATCATCGGCTAACGGGGCCCTGGCTTCAGAAGTTTCGTGATCGTGACGCGTTGTCGTCGCCAGTTGTCGCCGTCTTGTTGCCGGCGCTGCCCGGACGTCGATCACGATCACGTGCTATCTATAGCCGGCCGAGCAACATTTTATTCGGCCATTCGTCTCGGTTTCGGCGGATAAGAGTCCGATTTGTGCGGTCTTTTTGTTTTTAACGGACAAGCAGCGCGACGGCGACGAGGGAATCCATCGGACGGTCGTGCCGAAAGGAAACTCGTGTCAAGAGACCATCAAAGCGTGACCGAGATCCTCTCCGCTCTTGGACGTCCACGACTGACCGATTTGCAGCCGGTCGAATTAACCTTTTCCCTTCCTCCTGTCCCGAGGTCCGTAGATCCTGTCGAGATCCGATGTTGCACGGCATCTAACGTTCGCTTCGTGCCGCGTTGTCAAAAATCCCGCGATTAACTTTAAATTCTTTCCGATTCTAGTACGTGGAGAGAAAAATGCGAACGACGGATATGACAACGAGCGCGCGGAAGCAAGATGAAAGCGGGTTAAAAGCGGTAAAAAGTATACTTTGTAGACGTCAAGCTGTCACACACAGGCATACTTGCGCGCTCCGGCGCAAGGGCCCACGTTTTCTCAAGAAATTCGTCGTAAATGGTCGTCGGTGTGTAAGATGCCTGGAGATCCTTTTGCATATCCGCGCCCTGTCACGAATGCCTTTTACTTTCTCCTCAGACGCACCTTAACCAGTGCCGGATCTACACACAAGCTAGATAAGCTACAGCTTAGGGCCTCACATTATAAAGGGGCCTTCTTAGTATAGAAAAGATTTAAAAAAATGTATTTTTTGTCATAGCGTAGGGGCCACAAAATCGTACATCCGTCCTGACCTTAACGTTCCTTTAACGTATCCCACCGCACCGTTAGATTATCACGCGTACTCACGCGGGGCTCTTGACGGCGTTACGACGGCACAAAAGGACGCGCGAGCGTAAAACGGCGCATCGCCGGCTAATAGCGATCGCGTACTCTCTTTGGCACGGCGTGCCGTGCCTTTTGGCAATTATCCGGCATGACGATCGCGTCAAACAAGTATCGCGCAGGGATTACGCGAGGATCGCGAGACGTTTACTTTTTATTCCGATCCGCCAGATGTTCGCGGCGCGAATTACATCGCCCCGGGCGTCGCGAGCTCACAATTGGGACGCAAACTCGAGAGTTCTTTCAACCGAATTTGTTCCGGTCATATAGTTAGTTCTCTGTGTAAAAACTGGCACGGAGTGAATCACGGCGCACGGTTGCTCCATTAGACTGTGCGTTTTTTGCGTCTGTGTAAGGGCTGCCGACCGCCGGCAAAAAGAAACGGTATTAAGAACGGTGTATCTCGCAACGGGAGAAATTCCGAAAACCGTGTTAGAATCAATTAATACGACTAATCAAGTTATACCAGTTTATACCTTTAGTTTCGTGAACAACACCAATAAATTGTAATACGGCTGTTCAATCGAAGAACAGAGGATATTGCGTAAATCGCAGAGAATACAATCAGAGTATCGATTGTATCGCTAAATTGGCAGTATATCACCCGCTGGTTGTCGGACAACTGGTGTCACATATAAAGATAACATTCGGCGTCGTTCCGAGACTCTGTTACACAAGCATTGGTCACTGCAATAATTTATATACGTCTACTCTAATTTCCTCATCTCGGAAGCAAATTACCTGCTACGTGTTACCCATGACAGATACGCTCGAAAAATATTGCAGAACAATACTGCTTCTCCATAGGTATAAGATCTCATTCTGCAGTTTAATTAATGCCCACAAGTCCGCCGTCTGCGGACGTATAGTTTATATTAATTATACCCCGGAAGATTCAATTAGTGCGTTTCTCATTACACTTACTTATACCGGTATCCATTATTCATGAGGAACCACCGCGGTAGCACCCTCTGACAATGCACGTGATCCTTATAATTCATCGTCGGAACCGAACATATAGTACATAACGTATATATATCGGTTTTCTCTCCTCCATATATAAGATGCGCGGAATACGTTTGCGGAAACGAGAAATTTATTTCGATACACAAAAAATATTTATTTCAACCTTCCGCGTGTCCAGATCGAAAGATTAAATCTTTAACTTAAAAAAAAAAAAACTCAAAAGTTTACAGAGTTCTTTGAAAAATTGCGATGACTTTTACGTCTCTTTTTAACTGTCTGATACTGTACCACCGTAATTACTTATTGTGAGGATAGATTGCCAAGTTTTTACTGTAAATTGAATCGAAAGAGAAATATTGTTTAGAAACTCGCGCGTTATTCATTATTTAATGCTCTATTTAGATAAAATATTTGCGTGACATTGTTTGATATTAAGATTATAAAACGCAGCAGTGACAAATTTACTGCGATGTGTATGCAATGTGTCATCAAGATTTTATCAACGTAGAGCCCCAAAGTCCTCCGAGTTAGATATATTCGCGTACGTGCCGTAAAGGTATTCAACAGCAGCGGCAAAATAATGGGTCAAGAAATACTCGAGAAGAAGTGTACCTCAGGCGACGCCCAATATGTGGCTCCGCCGGGGGCGCAATCTCTCTCGTAGAAAAATCAACTGTACCGAAAGTGCGAAAGCTGTTTCGCACTCTGCAAAAATTTAAATAAGATTCGAACAAGCGAACGAAAACGGATGCAATTTCAGAGGTATTTGCCAGAGAGCACGAACGAATATTCGTGTTATTTGCTAAAGGAATCAATATTGCTTGATAAAACGCATTGCAGAAATTATTTACAGCTTTATAAGTTTTCACCGATAAATTCTATGTTTTAATCTAAATTTTTGGATTCGATATTCATTCGTTGCGCTTTGTATTAATTATTATGTCGCGCTTTAATGTTCGTAGCTATCTTTTAAAGAGATAATTTCGGATATAAAATATGTATGCAAAATCAACGTAAAAAATGACTCTGAAGAGTATGTCCAATACATTTCTGGAAAATTTAAAAACTGAAATATTGCGAAAGATAATATTCGCGACAAATTGTTGCATGTGATGGAAACGATTATTGCACAGTTCGATGCAGAATTCCCAATATTTTTGCGCGATGTTGACACCGCGTTGAAAATGTCATTTTAAATGACACGTCAGGATTAAACTTGCGATTGATATCTGAAATACGCTGTTTTGTACACGCAGCAGAATGTCCTTAATCAGCTTGCGAAATTGTCTTACTCCTAATATCTTTCCTTATTAATGTATTAATTAATGAATTAGACAGGTGAAAAATTACGCGTGCGGTTTGCGCGGAACGTGCGATAAGCACATCGACCCGATTCTCACCGACGTGAGTACCGGACGACACCGTCTATTATGTTGCGCGTTTTGTTTCGCTTATTTTCATCCGGTAGATCAAGGCAATTGGTACCGCAGGCATTGTACAGAAAATTATTGCGCTTCGCCCAAAGCGATCCTTACATTACACAAAATGTTCATACGAGACTGATGTGAAACGATTTTAACATACTTCGGTTATCCTATGAAGCGCCGTAATTGCGCAAAACAACAAGGAGATGCGCGGGACCTCGAGGCTTGCTCTCATCCCACAGGTACATATGGAAATATAATTTTAATGATAACGGATCAAGGAAGATTTTACTCTTATATATATATAATACCTAGCTCTTTTTCTCTTTTAAATAAAATTGTTTTATCGTCGTCGTCACTATTGATTTTCTTTCGAAAAAGGATTATAATGCTGTTTCGTCAAATGCTGTATCGCGTCAATGCTGTTCATTTGAGATGTACGGCACGACAAGAGTCTGTGAAGTAATATTTGAGGAAGCTCTCGCGGTAGACACTCTTCCTTTATACCGTCATGAAATTGTAGAACGTTCTTAATTAACGTCCGCGTAATAAGGCAATCAAGGGACCGTTCCGCTAACGTTTTCCCTCGCGTAAAAAATCACGTCCATCTTAAAGCAGTTATCGGATGGAGTAGCCTCGGGAGTATCGGCGCGTACATAGTCGATAGTTCTTACTACAGTCTTTAGGAAGATACGATAACGATTCAATCTTACCTGGATTGCTGTCGGCGTTAGAGCTGAATAGGACGCAAAGGCCCGTCTCGTAGTTGACCGCCTGGCAGGAGTCGTTTGCCTGACAGGTCTCGAGGCAGTCAGTGAGCATCAACGTGCCCGGTATGGACTCGAGCATGTTCGTGGGCGCGGTGTACACGTAGCCGGTTACTAGCTCGAAGCCGACCATCTCGGGATCGCATTCGTCCGAACCCGCGGACGGCCCGGTGTAATCCGGGCCGGACAGACCGGACGGAACGGACGCGGACGACGGCGACAGGTCGGCCGCGTGCGTCGATTCCGCGGAAACCGCATGAATCGCGTGGCCGTACCTCGAGGCGGTTTGCAACAGCAAGAGTAACGTGACGAGATGTCGACGGCTATATGCTCTCGTCATTGTCGTACTTCAACCGGACGCTCAGTATGCAGCAACGTCGCGGACGCGTGTAATCTGTAACAAAAATTGCATCGTCATGTATCAAATATTTGTGACTGAGGAAAAAAAAAACAGAAAAATATCAAGCAAAGTATCTTGAACTATTTTCTATCGGGAAGGAGCGCGATGAATGGCAAACACGATTCTGAGACGTAAAGTGATGCGACAGCGGCTGTTGGATCATTAAAAAACCATTGACTTTAAAAGATATGAAATAAAAGGATATGAAAAGATTTATTTTTCGCGGAAACTTGACTGTCTTCTCTTTTAATCTCAGAAATGCAGGCGGGAATCCAACAGGTCTCCACATTTTCTCAATTTTCCAGAATTATGCTATGACGTGAAATGTCGTGCGTCTTTCATCATGAAAATTTCTTTTAATATTTATTTTCCGCATTATGATATTACTAAGATTAGTTCAAAAAAAGGTTTAAAAATAAAGAGAAGTTGTGTAGCGTGCGAATGCGCATAGCGTATAACAAAGTGTAGTTTGCTAAATCTCGCAGCGAATTTTTATGACAATAATTAAGACAGTGGTGCTGTCTAGATTTAAGTGCAAAATAAAACGGTTGCGCAGAATTAAAGCGTTTTAAGCGTCTTAACCGTTTTTTCTCAGCAGTTTTTCTTCGTTATAAGAGTATTTTCTCCGCTGCTTAAATGAATATTTTAGTGCTGTGACGGACTGGATAAAGGAGAATTAACGGAAGTACGGATTAACGGGATGGAATGTATCGCCGTTGGTCAAATGTCGCGCTGTTCTTGTTACAGAACGGGAACGGAATAGTAGATTGGAAAATAAGGTATTGCTCGCATTGATAATGCAAATTGCGACAAGAATGTTTGTAACAACGCCAAGTGTATAAATTTCCGTGTAAAAAGTCGGGACATAGGAGCTGTCGAAGTGATGATTAGTCAACGATATCGAGATGAAGCCTCTACACCGAAAACTGCTTTCAGAAAGAATAAAATTTTCTTTCTTAAAATTAACGCTTAATAGTTTGATTAACGTATTTACACATTTTAATTATTATTTTGCGCGGATATAAAATATCACTAGATTTGACATGTTTTCAAATTATGAAACAAGCAGAGGCGTAATTAATAAATTTGTCAAAACATAATACTCGTGTCTATTAACGTGTAACACTTCGATAGATTCCACGCAGCGAAATGAGATGTGCACGGCGCGGATAAATTAAAATGACAATTAAAATGTTGAAAACGCAGAGCGGCAGCGATAAATCGAGCATCGTTCATATTTCTGTTGCACTGTTGCGCGTATATTGCGCAATAAATAACAAGCAGCGCGACGGGCGTATGCGGGAATTTAAATCGCCAGATACTTTCGTGCACCGCCGTGACCCCATGGAATCGAGACCCGACAAACTCCGGTTTTGTTCCGCCGAAAATAACGTCGAAATACAACGTCATATTTGAACTGCGGGCCGTGTGCGTTCCTGTGCACATTACACGTTAAAATAATCAACACCGACTGGCACTGTTCATGTACCCTTGGCACACAGTCGAATTTCGGAGAACGTACCTGGAAACGAACGGTCGGCTGGCAGAGAGCAGTTTCAATATGTCGAACGTCGAATTTTTCGGGACGTGTACGCGTGTACCCCGGGCGCGCGATATCGCACGCTGCAATTCGGCGGCGCTATATCCCGCACTCGTGCGCCGCGCGCGAAGGCGAATTCCACGGGCACCTTTCTCACGGGATCGTCCGTAAGCGCGCGAGCTTGAGAACGGCCGTTAGCGCACAATGCTGAAACGGTACACACAAACGTGGGCCAAGACGGCGGAGTCGGAGGGAAAAGAGAGAGACCGATTACTTTTGTTTATCGCGCATGGCGTAACCGCACCGCGAAATCACAGAATCGCGCGCAATCCGATTCGCAATGGTGATGCGAGAGAGTTTCGCGCCCGCGCCGCGGCCGCACACCGGGGATATAACTATGTCGGCCGACTGGCTCTTAGGCACTGTGTACACCTGGCCGTGTGGCTCTTCCTCGAGCGACCGAAGACGTCTGCCGGCCCGGAGGGGACCGAGGCCGCTGCCGTCTAAGGAGGACAGAACGGTACGCACAATTCGATCGCCGGTACAACACCATTGAAAACATTACAGCCGATCTCCTACCACCTCTTTCTCTTTCTCTTGATCGGCCGTATCCCCGCCCGGATTCCCCGCGCGTTCCTTCCTCTACGGTTTTTTTTTTTTTCCTTCTATATTCTCAGTCGGATCACAGTGAAGTCACACACCACTTCAGGCGTCAGGAGCAAACCTACCGACTCGCGGTTGACAGCGCGGGTGTAATGGACCTACTTCAGAATCTTCCACGATCGCACGTTCAACTCCAGGCTCTATTTCGCACGATGACACTCACATTATGCTCGCGCCGGGCATAAGCCTGAATCGTGACACTTTACGCGTTAAGTCACACGCTGACAAGGATTTACTAGCCCCTCGGCATCCTCTTATCTTCCTTCGGAATACGCAGCCTCCACCATTTATTTGATATGTACTCTTTCGTGCGTTGACACTACGGACAAGATATTACGAAAGAGAGAAAGGAAAGCTGACGGGAAATAACACACTATCGCCCGACAGTTCTTTACGACAAAGATTCTCCGCCAGAGAGATAGCGTAATGCTTTTTCCACATCGATTGGAATTCTTGCCCAATTCTTCCGTGGTGTAACGGACCGATCGCCCCGAGGTATCCCGCCGCATTGACCACGAAATTAATTCATTTCACAACCGGCTGGCGCCGTGGAACACGAGATCGGCATTTTTCGTCGTACCGTGCGCATCCACGCGATGTGCTCGGCCATGAATCAAATGTACACCGACACGGCGTGCGTACGCGTAAGGGTACGAATGATATCGGTGATTGCATTCAACGGATGAGAGGGGGAACGGGGGGTACAAATGAGTGGCTCGATCGTGCTGCAGATAGATGAGCGAGGGCCCGCAGTTTCGCGCAGGGAATCGGGTGGTGGTGCACGCCCGAGTAGCGAGGATAATTCCCCCCGATGCGAGGAACGAGACGGGGCGAACGGACGCGAGGCGCTCTCTGTCATTAGCCGGTACCTGTTGCAGCCGTGGAAGACTCGCGGAATGAGCCGATGATGCGTGTCGAGTAAATAGTAATTATGTCGCGCGAGAGAGCGCACGCATACCGGGAGCAGCCGGGAGTGCGGGAAATCGCTACGCCGCAGAGGCGCGAGGCGAGGAAACTGGCGCCGAAGCGGGTGGGGTTCGACGGAGCGGGGCGAGGAAGGGAGCTCTCAAAGAGGGCAAAATTGAATGTTCACGTTGTGTGAACAGCGCGACCCGACCGGGCGCGTCAGTGTCTCCGTGAAAATTCCGCTCGGGCGAGCGGATCCACGTTCGACAAGTTTCCAGTGTAAAACGCGCGAGAGACGGAAAGAAGAAGCGAAAGAAAGAAGGGGAGTGATGGGAGGGAGGAGGGAAAGGAGTCGAGGAGGGGGGAGGCAGCGCTCCGTACCAGGTGCCTGCACCATCGCGTCACCATGGCGGAATAACGGTTCCTGGATGTCCCATCGGGTTCAATCGCAATCGGCTATCTCGCGCGCCGCGGAATTTCACAGGGAAACGACCGCTTCGCCGCCGTCTCGTGATCAACGACGTACGAGCGCCGCTATCCGTCCGCCCTTGAGCACCGATCGACCCAATAGCCCCCTCGATCCCGCTCCGTGCTCTATAATTCGGCAGCTGCGCGAGTCTCTCGCGAGAGCACATTGACAGCCTTGCGTAACCGTTTTACAAACATTCGAATGAAATCACGCTCTCGGGAAATTATGAATTCAAGACAGGTCGAACGAGAGAGGCGAACAGACTCGCTTTGCACATAATTTAAGGAAACGATCGATCATCGCGTCGTTGAATAGTCAGCTTTAACAGTTAAACGTTTCATGCCGGACACGATTAACTACCGCCTCTACTCTACAGCATAATCCGGAGGTTTATTAACGTGCGTGTTGGTTATTACTAATAAAGATACCATAGCGTCGACGCGATGCATGTAAGAAGAACGATCGCGCAGCGCGATAAGATAATTACTACCAGCGATCTGTGGCAGTAGCATCAATGTTGCGCGTGTACGCGGCGCCGTGTGCACATAAATTTTTATCAACCGCTCCGGATGAGCCGGAGCGCGTTCCTTATGGAAATTCAACGGATAACCAGCGGTTACTTCTCTGTCGGGGTTTTGTTGCGCACGGGCGTTGCTGAAACACCGGTCGATTACGCGCGTTCGACCGCTCCGTTTTCTCATCCACTTTCCGTAGCATCGTGAGAACTTAGCCGACCGGCCAATTAGAATTTGTTTCTCCTCGGCTGGTCGCTGCCAAATGTGCTACGAGGTTACCGCGAGGTGACTCACGAGCCCACGTGAGCGAGTGACTCGCACCAACATTAACGGACACGCGACTTATCACATAACGGCGTAAGGCCGTTCTCGATACCCGTTCTCGGTCAAGCGGATTCTCAAAGTTATGCAGAAGGTTATAAGAGAGTCGCGGTATTCGTGAGCGCGCCGCGTCGTGGATTCCAACACGATACGTTCGGTCGCGCGCGTACGCGCGCGATCACGCTAGATTTATGGATGGTACCCGCATCGTTAAGACAGTCGCCGAGAGTGATTTAATTCGTACCGCTTTATCGCGCGAGGCTCTCCCTGCGCGAGCGCTGGTGTTAAATTTCTAATCTTCGCGTCCCACGGTCAGAAGCGTGATCGCAGCACGACCGGACGTGACGGGTGATTATTTCATATGAAAAATAACGTTCCGTTGAAACGATGCGCGTTGAAACCGTCCGCGGCATTTTGTCTCTCGAGCTCGTTCCCGCCGATTCCGTTTCTATGTACCTAGCACTTCGGCTAGATTAAATTATTGGAATGCATTCGTAAACGGTCGACTATCGGTCGCTCGATAACATCTCCAATCGATTCCGCTCTCAACCGGAGGCTCAACCCAATCCGCCGCGGCGCA